ATGTATATATATGTGTATGTGTGTATGTATGTATGTGTACCTGTTGTGTTACCTTCGAATGTAACATTAAGGAATGCGTTATGGGAAGTCTAATTTTTCATAATAAGGAAATCAGTAAAATTGCTTTATGGTTTAATTTTTCTAAATTTGTTTGTCTAACAAATATACAGAGGATTAGAATTCTCCCTATGGGTAAGGAATGCGTTTAAAGCAAATTATGATAACTCAACCGTACAATTTGTTATGTCAATTGTATGTTGCCGTAATTGCTTCTTGTTTTTCAATCTAATATAATCATTTAGAATCAAATTATTAGTTTAATAACTGACCAGTACCACTACACAATGAATCAGCGTTCCGATTGTTGTTTTCCTGTTTCTTCCTTGATATGGAAAATAGAATCAACATAAAGTATTACCAATTTCCATTTCTTCGTGAGTGAGATGAACAATGGAATAAAAGAGATGAAAAATAATAAAGCAGTTTAGCTTTATAGAAATGGACAAAACGCATTTTTTGTCCCTAAACTTATAATTTTTGGTCACTATTAATTTTTTACTGACAAAAATTAGTCACCATCTTTTCATTTATTCAATAATTTTAGTCAATTTAACGGCCAACTAGCCAACTCTTTTTTCCGTTAAGTTTTTTAATTTTTATTAATTTTTTACTAAATGGGACCCACAATATATTTTCAAACAACAAAATCAGTCCTCTAATATCCTTTTTTTCAACAATTATAGTCACTTTAACAGAATTTTCAAAAACTTAATGGCCCAATTTAATTTTTCTTTAAGTCTTTTTTATTAATTATTTAATGGATTGTGAGACCCACAGGTCTTTGGTCATAATTTTTTTAACAAAAATAAAATAAAAGAATAATAGAAGTATTTTCGACCAACTTCCTAAACACCAATATACTTCTTCCGAACGTCTCACCATTAAGAAAACAATTTAAAAGAATAATAGAAGTATTTTTGGCCAACATCCTAAACACCAATATACTTCTCCCGAACATCTCACCATCACCTCCCTGCCGACAAAGTAGCCCAAAAAAGGAGTCTCATTATTGACTGTTTTCGTTATCGGGGGGTTTTTTTTTTTTGGAATTTCTTTCTCAAGGAGTAGAATATGTAAGATTATGAAGTTGGCCGAAAATATTTTCATTATTTTTTTATTTTTTTTTTAAAAAAAACATTCTGAACAAAGACCTATGGAACCCATAATTCATTAAGTAATCAATAAAAAATAAAGAATTAAAAGAAAATTAAATTAGGCCATTAAGTTTTTAAAAATTATGTTAAAGTGATTAAAATTGTTGAAAAAAAAAGATATTATTGGACGGATTTTGTTGTTTGAAAATATATTGCGGGTCCATTTCAGTAAAAAAATTAATAAAAATTAAAAAACATAACGGAAAAAAGAGTTGACCGTTAGTTTACTATTAAATTGATTGAAATTATTAAATAAACGAAAAGATGTGGCTAATTTTATCAGTAAAAAATTAATGGTGACCAGAAATTGTGACCCGCCCTCTATAGTTTAGGGACCAAAAGTACGTTGTCCTATAAAAATCTATTAATTATAGTGAAATGTTCCTCGCGCTATGGGTCCTGCGTTTGCTTCATTTTAATTTGTATTGATCAAGTACAGTAATAGTAAGGGAAACATACTATTAACAGTATACATTTTCTTGGGACCGCTTTGCCTAGGAATCTGTTTTTCAAAATGGGGGATATCGAATTTTACGTAAAAGCTTATCCCACTCAATCTCTCCTTTGTCAGATCAATTTTGAAATCCATGCATAAAACAAGAAAGAATAAGCAAAGTTTTCCTTTGTATAAATGGCTGCTTTATTTGCAGGACATCTTTCCTTGCTTTCGGCCATGAAAAGGAGGACAATCATATAACATTTGCTAGTGTTCTAATTTATCCTTTGAGAGTTGAGTTTTCATTTAAAAAACAATCTAAGCCAAGAAAAAGTAGCCTTAACTTAAGATTTAAGAGCTAATGATCCTTGATTCACTATCAATCATTAATCTTTATCACGTGTTCCCTAGTGACCAATGAAGTGTATTTAGTTGCATATCTTAACCGATAATGTATAGTTAGCTAGGGCTGACCCTGAGACAGAAAGATACGAAAACCTAACCGCGTGGAGCAATATTCTTTGACGATCCATAATGGGTTTCTTTTAGATTTTCACAACAGATGATTGGGACTTTTGAAAATTGTGCAGTATATATATATACTATATCATATGTGTGGACAGAGTCAATCTGGATACGCAGCTGCATTTCATACCTCAAGTAACATTGGTTCTTCGAAAAACGCTTGGGATGGTGAATCAGGTTGGATGGTCATATGATATTCCATCCACAACCAAAGGCTAACATTCGGATAGTACTGTTTTCCCTTCTTCTTTTACTTTTGTTCTGTTTGTTTTCTTCCGAAAAAGAAATGGAATATCTTTACGCGGGGTGGTTAACGTTACCATTTTGCCAGCACTTCAAGGGTTCTTGTGATTCTTATAGCGTTTCAAAGAATATTTCCTTAAAAAGGGGAGAAAACAAATATTGTGACGGAATTATTAAGTTATTACCACAAATTTGTTCTTTTTTCTGATGAATTAAAATAGTATTCCGCATGCACGTCTCAAAAAAAAAAAGTTTTATTTGTTGAATTAAAATAATATAACATAATATAAAACACGTGTTTTGGACCCCATACGTGTTCAGATTAATTATATGGTTTCCATGTTGAAGCCGAACAAAAAAAAAAAAAAAACCCAAAAAAATTCCACCAAAACAAAGATGATCAACTTGAGATGGACCAATGTTCCTTATAGAGGACATGTGATCCCGTTCAGTTCATGTCTCCTACTCTTTCTTTCATATGATCAAGCACTATATATCCTTTTCGTTTGTTCTGCTTCAACTTTTATCATTTACTTTTGAAGTAAAGGCATAAGACGCATTGGCTATGTTGCTCGTGTGACATGACAGATTCTAAGTCTCTTGTAGGACATGAGAAGGGTCAAAGAATCCATATTGATTGTCACTTGGGAAAATCTCCCTTCTTTCTCCTCCTTCCGTACCCCTAATCACTATGTACGTATTTTGCTGCAGGGTAGCTTCCGATGGTTTATATTTTTGTATATTATACACAACACCCCTCCTAACTAATCAAAGTTGAGTTAGGTAAATCTCTTTTGGTAGAGAAATCTCTCGTAAACTGACCAAAATGAGAACACTACTAACTATTTATGTTGGGATCATTGTGAAAACGATCCGGAATCCGAATCACTCAAGTGATCTCGAAATGCAGTAGAACTACAAGTTGGCAGTACCGAGCATTAAGAGTACTTGCTTCGAGTTTAGCGCAATCTCAGTTTACTGTGAAGCCGAGCTAAGCTTTGACAGCTATAGAGTGTTCTTATACGTCTTTTGCCACAGAATGATTATTCTGTTTCGGGTTTTATTTTATGGTAGATTAAAAATGAAAAATTTAAACTAGACATTCATTTCAGAAAAAAAGAAATATAACCCTACTTTATTGCCTTAACGTACCCTCAATATGTGTACAATGAGTATCGATAGTTAAAATGGATTTTCTCCTTTTGGCCGCGGGTAGCAATTGCATGTTCGTAAGAAGATTCTAGATCTTTTGTCTAAAAAGATAAACAAGATTCTAGATCTTACACTTGGAGGAATAAGGGCAAAGATGGAGGGGTTTGAGGTATGTCTGGACCAATCACCAACCAATCAAGTTGAGAGAATCATCAATCAATCTGGAATATTTTAACAGAACGAGGTCCACACGTTTGAGGATTTCGGCTATGGTTTAATTGTTTACGGTCCTAGAAGCCCCAAACATCACATCATTGAGCTAGGGCTACCTACATGTTGTCATACTTACAGAACAAACGTACGTAATCCGACATTCTTCCCGTTTCAATATGAGATAAATAAAATAACCCAAAAAAAAAATCATTTTGAAAATGAAAAAAATATTTATACGAAATTTATTCTGTAATGATTGTAAGGAAGTTCTCTATCGATCCTTCCCAACAAAGACTTCAACAAGGTACAATTAGGGTAAATTGCGTACTAGTGATCACTCCTCGAGCTTCATCTCCTGCCTAGCTTTTTCCAGTCTTAGAAATTGCCAAGGATTCTAGCAATGTAACAAAATAGTATTTAAAATAGCGGTGTACTCTCATTGTTTTACCTTTTTTCTTTAAAAGAAATTCAGGACTATATTATTTAAAAAAAGAAAGTACAAGAGCCAGTGCTTAAAACTTATTTAAAGGAAGAGTCTGTCATACAAAATTTTTTTAAAAATCTCATGACAACCCTGCTTTAAATAATTAGTCTAAGAGTTTGCCTTACAATTTGTTCTAAACATTCTATGGCAGCCGTGTTTTAACTTAACTAATAAATTTTCTTATAAAAATTTATCTATAAATCCCTGACAATTCGGAAAAATTTATATAAAGAAATAATTGCTATCTATTACAACAGAAACCTACACTTTTTTTTATTTAAAACAAATTTGAAGATGTGGAAAAGATGTTTTATCCAAGTAAAAAATTCCACATAAATGAGCTGGCAAATCTAGATAAACTTATTAAATTCATCGTATCAAATTATTTATTACCTTTACCTTAACACGTAATCTTATTCAGTTGTGGTCAAATGTCCGCATTCAAAAAAGTGTTGAAGAAAATATCAATATTTTTTTTACCATGAAAGATGCCCTATCCGTACTAACAAACAGAAGATATATCAAAGGGGCAAGAAAATAAGAAAATGAAAGTAAAAGAAAGATTCTTGATCTCTCTTTTTGGTAATGGAGATTAAGATGAATAATAATGGACACAACAACATGGTTATATTAGATAAAACTGCAAGCAACCTTTTTTTTTTCTTGCAAGAATATTTTAAAAAGTATAAATAAGGCAAGACCCTCAACTTCCATGATACACAACAGTTCATTTGCTTTCAAGAGTTTTCTTGAAGAAGAAGAAACAGTACCAATTTCTTTTTGAGATCGATATCATGCCTAGAACAAACGCAGACCCTCTAGTTCTCGGCCGTGTCGTCGGGGACGTTTTGGATTCCTTCACTAGGTCGATCAGCCTTAGTGTTGGTTATGGTAACAAAGAAGTGAGTAACGGTTGCGAATTCAAGCCATCTAAAGTTGTCAATCAGCCTAGGGTTGAAATCGGAGGTGATGATCTCCGTACCTTTTATACCTTGGTAAGGACTAATCAAGTCTCTCCGTTCTAGTTGAGAGAAAAAAGAGTTTTATATGTGTTAAACGTTTCATAACAATCTTTTCTTTTCTTTTCTTTTCTTTTCTTTTTAATCGGGACAGACTAAAGTTTATATGTATATGATTTTTTAGTAGGTTTTAATAATGATCCTCATGCGTTTCAAATGATCTGCCTTTTGTTTTTGGTGTTCTCGATTGATTAGGTGATGGTGGATCCTGATGCTCCAAGCCCAAGTAATCCAAACCTAAGGGAGTACTTGCATTGGTATGTTACCAAAATCATTCGCTATGTCGTCCGTCTAGATCAAAAGTAACTTAAACACGAACAAAACAAATGGTTAAGTAAGGGTTTATTTGGCAACACCTTTTATATTGTTTAAAATTGTTCGATCGATAACAAAAAGTGAATTTTTGTAATGAAATAAATGGTCTGCAGTACAGAATATAGGTAGTAAAAGTCAGTTTATTAGTTATGCTATAACTATTTAATCAATTCAATATTTCTAAATTAAAATTAGATATTTAAAATTATACACTAGTTTTTATCAAACACACCCTTGATTTCTTCTTCGTATTATTGGAACTATTATATGACACTATCTTTAGGTGATTTCGAAGGTTCTGCAAAGTTATCTGTAGCTTAAGGTTATGACACTTGCTTTAGTAACATCAGAGTTCGTAGCTTCTTCGCTCCAAGATATATCAGTCTTCGGCGGATTTAGGGCGGGGTGATATACGCATTAATTTAATTGTAATTCTTTTACCTCTTGATCTATATGTTGTTCATGTGACTTGGATCAAATTCGTTCGCGTATTTTATTTTTCTTAGTTGGGTTTTGGGCCAGTTAAAAATAATGCAAATCCAAAGTAGAATCAGATTAGGTCATACACTAATATTAAAAAATTCAAATAAAGTACTCAATTGTTGTTAATTCTAATTACATTAGCATGCAAAATTCAGTTCATCTAGCAAGATCATGTGTATTGAAAAACATTAAATCTATAATAACATTTAATTGTAATAATTATTTTTTCTCAAATGTTGCTGAAAGAGTCATTGACTCTTTTCTGTGGCTGCTTAGTTTCGATCAAGGGAAAAACTTTAGTTTCTATTTTGCGTGTTTATGTAATTAGAGAAGAAAGATTTTCTTTTGGCTATGGTCATAGTTAAAAAGTCATTTTGAATAATCGGATGCAAAACTCTAGAACAATTACCTAGTTTCATTTCAAAAAAAAATTAAAAAAAAAATTATAAAAGTTGATATAGAATTGATAATTTACAACATATCAAGGTATACTCATTGTAGGCACACTTACAAACTAATTGGTATTCCCTCTATCCAAAAAACAAAAAATAGTCTGCATTGAGGTCTGATATTTATAATGTTTCTAATGCCAATATGAAAATTCAATATGAATTTTTTTTTTTCAGGACGGGAGGAGTGATTTTCTAACAACGTGTTATAATCTCATTATATTTTTATTCTAAAGTCGCTTTTCGCAATAGTTTAGTTTTCTTAATCCTATTTTCTTAAAAGTTTCGCACAACTAGGAGAAACTGTCACTCTCTTCACACCTATTTTTCTATGCCAACTAATTTGGTAAGAGTAGTAGAAAGAAAAGTACTCAGAGTTTGCTTGACTCGTATGTTGTAATCATATATACCATCAAACTAAGACAGATATACCAGAAGGTTTAAACCGCTTGAAAAACACTCAAAATCTTGATTTAATTTATATATTACATTTATTGCGAAATGAGTACATGATGTTTGTTAAAATTAATTATAAGAAGATAATTATAATTATATTATTACAGTTCATTGTGGTTTTGAATAAGTCAATATGGCTTTAAATTAAGAAATCCAGTAACAACTAAATGATGCCTTTTCAGGATTCCTTTTATTTAAGCTGGGAATGAGTTTACTTTGCGATCAGGATTTGTAAACTGCATTCTGTTAGATTTTAAAATCAATCTGTAAAACCGTTGGCAGAAGAGTTTAGGCTTTTACTAGTAGCCTCCAAAGTTTATCAATGCTTCAACAAAATGTTCATTCATGTGAGATGTTTTATCATACTTAATAAAGTTAATACATTAATCTGCTTTTTGAAAGGCCTAATACTCTAATAGTTAAAAAAAAAAAAAAAAAAATTCATGGGACCGATCTACATTCGTAGAATTTAATTTTTTCAACATGGTCATGGAATTTACATAAAGCGATTCCAATTATTTCTCTCCTTTTCCGGTGCAATCTTGCAATGTATATAAAACAAGAGGAGTGAGACAAAGGTCCGTACCAATGGCTGCTTTTTGTAGAATATTTTTTTTAGACCTTGAAAAGGACATTACTCATAATTTGATTAATATTTGGTGCTATTTCGTATATATAGTCCTTCTTAGCTATCTATTTTCTTTGCTTTTTTATAGTTAAGCGTCCGTTATGAATTGATAATACTTCCCTTGTCAAAAAATTAGCATAATAAGTTGATACTATTTTAGTTGAGTACTCTTATTTGGTGATGGATGGATTATCATTTACATTAAATTGTTAGTATGGATTTGGGAAGTTTTTATGTAACGTTGGCTCTTTTCACCAAACTTTCAGGTTGGTAACTGATATTCCGGCCACAACAGGTGCAACATTCGGTTAGTACTCTACGTCTGATGTTTTTCTTTTTTTCGTTAGCTCCAGCATTTTCTGTTAGTTAAATAATAATATGTTTAAATTCTTTTCAGTTTTTCTTTCTTGCAATATTTTCTTGAAGAGGGAAATATGGATTTCAATGGATATTTTTATGGGATAAAAGTGTTCAGGAGATTTTATTTATTTATTTTTTTTTGTAAAATGCAAAATTTGAATGGAAAACAGTTGGTATTGTCTATGTAAATGTAATTTAACAAAGAAAATGCTAATTATTTTCTGTAATAGTTTCAAACGGAATTTGTATAAAAATAACGGTTGGGTTGATGGGTGTTTTAAAAGACTATATTATTGTCTTCTTCTTCAAAAAGGGGGAAAAAAAAAAAAAGGTTTCAGTGGTTTTTCATGAGCTAAATCTATACTGTGAACATTCATAAGAAAACAGTTTAAGAAACCTTACACTAAATCTATCACCATTTATACTTACACCATGTATTGGTAGAGTTTAATTATTTAAATAAATTTACTTGGATAATTTGGTAACATCATTGAGATTTCTCAGAAATTTTAGTTAATGTGTCACCACTCTTCTTTTACTGCATTTTCGCCCCAAAAATATTACGTTTTGAAAGAAAATAATTGTTTTTTTAAAAAAAAGGTCCAATTTCATAAAAGTCAATCAGAATTAGTTTTGATAAAATGATAGAAATATCTTCATTTTGAATTAAAATAGAAGTAAGGGATTGTTTTGAGTTGGGAAGAGAATAAATTGAGACAAATTTGAAAATTTGTACACAACTAATGGTTGTATCTTGAGTAAATTGACCAAAATTCAAAAGTTGTATTTTTGAGATGTGGGCTATTTTATTTTCTGTGGACGTATATATAGGAGATTAGATGGTTTTAAAGTTTTCGCTGGTGCGGTTGTTTCCATGTTTTCATTTTAGTATTTGTTCTCCTATTTCCATTTCTGAACTGTGGAAGGTTATTTCCGACACCGTGGTGAAACACTATATGATCAATATTATCATTTTTAATTGCTTCTCATTTACTGTCCAACAAAATGCATATGCTAATTCGTTGATGATTTTTTTTAGGTCAAGAAATTGTTTGTTATGAGAGCCCAAGGCCAACCATGGGAATCCACAGGTTCGTTTTCGTGCTTTTCCAGCAGCTCGGGAGGCAGACGGTGTACGCGCCTGGGTGGCGCCAGAACTTCAACACCCGAGACTTTGCTGAGCTCTACAACTTAGGATCTCCTGTGGCAGCCTTGTACTTCAATTGCCAGAGGGAGAGTGGCTCCGGAGGTCGAAGAAGACCAGAATAGAACCAAAAGAAAGCCTCATGATTTAGTTCGTGAGGCTATTTCAATGTCCATGCATCATTGCGGGGCTATTTAATCTCTCTCTCACAACATCTACATATAATCCAATGGGAATGATAACAATAAAGTTATAGACTCTTTTGGGAGAATATCATACTATATCATCACATATTTTGTATCCTTTTTTTTTTATGAATAAGTATGTAATTTATTCCCTAAGAATGAGTGCGTGTGTGTGTGTGTTCTGGGCCTTCTGGCCTCTAATTGTGTGGTGAGAACTATTAACAAACTCCTATACTAGATTGTGGTAAAAGATCTTTCCTGACATTTTTAGTGTTACTGTACTTTCTTATACTTTCTTTTTAAAACAAAATCCAGGGCAATACTTGACGGGAGGACCACGATATTATTAATATAAAGGGAAAAATTAAACAAGACAGTGTTTAAGACTTACCCAAACAAAAAGGAGACCGTCTTACAAAAGTCTGTTTAAAAACTCATGACGACTCCTGCGCAATTACAACTAAGGATTGTGTGACAAAGATAACATAGTATATCCCATGACAATTCTTTCCAGTTTATAGTTTATTTCATAGGAGTATGTCTTACAAAGATTCCACATTAATCACATGACATCTCCATCTAGTTTATAGAACAATAAAAAGAGAAAAAAAAAACCTATCTAATTCTTATATAAGGAAAAGAACGCTTATCAAGGTACCATTTACCTACCAATGAGGCTGGAAGTGCTCCCTAGTGTCATACTGAATAGATGATCCGTGCGATGCTATTTTTGCAAGCTCGTCTACTATGCTGTTGGCTTCTCTAAAGACATGTATGATTTTTGAATTGGATAGAAGTATCATACATTGAATTCCATGAGGTTATTGTGATGCTTTCATGGGAAATTCTTATCCTGGCTAAGATAATTGACCACTGTGAGATTGTCTGATTGTATGACCACTCGAGTTATGCTTTGTCGCATATAGTATTGAAGGCCATTGAGAACCGCTGCTATTTCTGCTTCTAAGCTTGTTGCCATTCCTATGTATTGACATTCCACTCTGATAAAATCACCATTATTGCCCCTAATTACAAATCCACATCCCGCTGCTCCAGGTTGTCCTAAAGCCGACCCGTCTGAGTTGAGAGTTGTTTATCTCGGATTCGGTGGCTGCCATCTAATTGATAATACTACTCTTGGTTTGAAGGTTGCCACTTTAAAATGAAAGGCTTCTTCAATTGCCTTTTGCTCCCTTGAATCTCGAGCCTTGAGCTTATGGATACTCAACATGTTGAAAATGTGAGATGTAATAGCTTTTAGAATAAAATTAAAGGAAAATCCGGTACTTTCATAGAACATTTTATTCCTGGTTTTCCATATCTCCCATAAAATGAAAGCAGGTAAAACCATGAGTACTGTCTTTTTTGGCAGAGGAAAATTTCCCAATGAGATGCCAAGCTTGTATTGTATTCTTCCAACCTGCATTATTAGCAAAAGTAATCCCTAAATTAGCCGAGAAATATTGCCAAATAGGATTGATCATTATACAATGAAAGAAAATATGCTCAATATCTTCCTCCTCTTTCATACAAAAGGGACACCTTGATGGCCGTGAATTAAAACTCATTTTTTGCAAAATCTCCGGAAACGACAACAATTTATTACGAAGCTTCCATATGAAAAATGATACTTTTAAAGGAATGCATTTATGCCAAAAATTAGCAAGCAATGGAATTTGTAAATGTTTTTCCCGAAATTCAGAATATGCTGAAGAGATAGAGAAACTCCCTGAAACACAAGGCATCCAAACGAGTCTATCTTGCATAGTTTTAAAATGAACCGTCATTGAAGAGAGTTGATTCTTCACATCTAGGCTTAGAACATTCGTAAATTCCTGCAAGAAAAATTCTTTAGACGCAAAAAATTCTTTTACCGTTAGACTTGGCATTGGCAGGGTTATAGGATCGTTCCATATTGAGCTCGTATCCAGCCATGAGTCAAACCAAAAGGAAGATGAACCGCCTTCTAATATGATCTTGCATTTCGACCCAACCAAGTTGTCGACTTTTTTAACATGGCCCCAATTCGTTTTTTCCTTGGCAGATTCCAACAATGAAGAGAGAAAAGCAGCCCACACTCCACTCTTATTTTGAATTTTCCACCATAATTTCATTAAGCAAGCATTAATAGTGTCATCCAAAGTTCGGAAGCCAAGCCCATTTCAGCAACCGAAAACCCTAATTTCCTCCAAGCACGCCAATGTCGACTAAGTCTATTATCATTCTCTCTCCAAAGAAAGTCTTGACATTTCTTTTCAATAGCTATGAGGACTGATTTTAGAGGGACTAAGGCTGCAATAGTATGAATCGGAATGGCACTTAACACATGCTTAATCAGAATTAATCTCCCCCTTGTCGAGAGCAACCTATTCTTCCAATTCTCTATCTTTATATCCATAGCCTCTAAAAGATGATGAAACTACTCCACTTTCTTTCTGCCTTTATAGAGATAGCAAGCAAGATATTTGAAAGGTAGAGTTCCTTGCGGCATTTGGAGCGTTTGAGAAATGGTAGCAACCTATCGCGCACTACTCTTTTCCGAAGTTATGAACATACTTTTTTGTTTATTCATTTTCTAGCTCGTTGCATCTTCATAACCCATGAGAAAAATCATTCAGCCTCTTCATTGAAGTCTTCAATCCCTTGGGGAAAATAATAAGGTCATCCGCAAAACATAAATGTGAAACTATGACCGATCCCACGGGAACTCCATAAAGTGCGATTTTTCCAGCTTTCGTTAGGGCTCTCATATTCTGGATAAAGCTTCCGATACTAATATGAATAAGTAAGGAGAAAGAGGATCTTTTTGCTTGATCCCTCTTGTGGCCTGAAAGAAACCAATCGGACTTCCATTCAAAAGTATCAAAAATTAGCTTCTCTGTAGATTGGGCATTACTAGGTCAATGAATTTCCAATGAAAACCAAATTTATGTAGGACTCATTGTAAGAAACTCCAAGAAAACTTGTCAAAAGCTTTCATCATGTCAACTTTTATGAGTAAATTACCCCCTCTTGACGGATGATCCAAAAATTGAAGAAAGTCTTGGGTCATGAGCACATTATCAACGATGTCTCTTCCTTCAATGAAAGTTGATTTCTCTTCGGAAATTAGTCCGGGAAGTATCGGTTTGAGTCTTTCCATTAACAATTTCGTGAAGATTTTGTTGATGAAGTTGCACATACTTATTGGCCTAAAGTCAGCAAATGATGTCGCCGTTGCCTTCTTCGGAATCAATGTTATTAATGTACTTCCAATCGCCTGCGGCAAGGGAGTTCCAGCAAAAAAGTCATCACAAGCTGATTTGAGATCTTGATTTATGATATTTCCAGCATTGTTGATAAGAATTGCCTCCAAAACCGTTGACTCCAGGTGAACTCGAAGGATCAAGGCTAAAGACTGCACTCTTAATCTCTTCCATAGTGAGTATTTCCAGTAGATTATCATTGTTTTGCTGTGTTACCACCTCTGGAATAAACTTTAAGATTTCCTCGCATGCATCATCATGATTTGCAGATTCCTCTTTGGTGACTAAATTTTGGAAGAAAGTTACTGCTTCCCGCTCAATCTCAGCTCTATCATTGATCCATGTGCCATCAGATTTTCTTATTTTATGTATGCCCAGCCGTGCTTTTTTTTTCCACGAGGGAGGCATGGAAGAAGGACATGTTCAAGTCGCCATCTCGCAACCATTTTAACTTGCATTTTTGCTGATAGAAGTCTTCTTGCTCATGCAACTTATTAAGTAAATGCGCCTGAGATTTATGCAATTCAGCTCTATAATTTTCTTCTCCAGATTGATCATATATCAACTCTTTAACACAAGCTTCTTCTTCAGCAATTTTTAAATTTTGATGCACATCACCAAACTCGGTCTTATTCCATGTTTTCAAATACTCTTTTAAGCGTCGTAACTTCAATGAAAAACCAAGCATTCCTGATTATTGAAGTGGTTGCTCCCAGTTTGCTTTTACGATCTCGAGAAAATTGTCCCGTCTTAGCCACATTCTTTGGAATCGGAACAGTCTTGGTCTGAGTACATCTTCTGATTTATACTCAAGCAGCAATGGAGTGTGATCAAATGTAGTTCTATTGAGGTGATGAACTGAGGCAATTGGAAATAAAGAACACCATTCTTGATTAAAACGCATTCTATCAAGCCGCTTCAGTACCCTTCCGTTTTGACGCATTCCTTTCCAAGTATGAAGATTTCCAATCAAAGGCAAATCTATGAGTTTACAATCATTGATCCAACCATTAAAGTCCTCAATTGCTCCCATATCGAGCTGAGATTATCCCTCGTATTCCTCCAGATTGCGTATCACATTATAATCCCCTCCCACAAGCCAAGTCTCCGTATCATGGAGCTGTTTAAAGTTCATCGATTCCACCCACAAGTCATATCTTTCCTATCGAGTAGACTTCGCATAAATTGCTGAATTTTTTTTTTTTTTGAAGAAACAACATGTTCCAGTCGTAAATGCTAAACTTTTTCTGATCCATCCAACTCGATAGTGATCCATTTTTGCAAGCAAAGTACCCATATCTTCCCTGCGCTTGAAGATTTGGTAGAAGTAAAATACAACTTATTTTTTAGCTCTTCGAGCTTAGAATCTGGTTGTATTGGTTCCTGTAAAAAAACTAAAGAGATAGAATGCATTCTGACCAAAATTTTAAGTCATGCGATCGATGCCTTATTACCAACACCGTGAATATTTGATATAAGTATGCTATTCATTAAGAAACTTTATTCGGAGACTCGCCTTGCAATCTCGTCGACTGATGAGTTTCTAAACCTTTTACCTCTTCTCCATTTTTTGAGCCCCTCGGTCTTCCTCTTTTTCCCTTTTTCTCTACACAATCTGACACTACCAAGAGTGCATCCTCAATTACATTTTCCATCAGTCCAATAGTCACGTCATCCCGAGTTGTATTATCGCTATCCATGAGGTCTTGCCCATCATCATAAGCAATTTCTGTATCCGAATGACTCACCACTTTTTTACACTTTTTAAATGTTCCAAATAAGTTAAATCTTATATTTATCAGACTTATTTACAATTTTGTTTTGGATGAAAAGAAGATATAGTTGATTGTGGTAAAAGATTTTTCGTGACATTTTCAGTATTATTATACTTTCTTACACTTTTTAAATATTCCAAATGAGTTCAATCTTATATTTGTAGCACTCAAGTAATTTTGTTATGGACGAAAAAGAAGATTTTAAAAAGATAGTAGATCTGAAAATTCAATTCGGACTATTTTGTTTTCTACAAAAAGAGTAATATAGATCACTTTATAAGTATGCCCCTAGCAAATTGATTATGTTTGGTTTCTGAGTGCAAACAAAATTTTGTTAGTGTGTGCTTTAATGTCATGCCCTCAGGGTTAAATTGTAAGAAATTAATATTAGAGGGGATAAAGTGTAGTTTTTGTATTCTGCTAGGATATAAATAATCTTCAGGGGCTTGTAAACCATTATGCAAAATATGAGTATTGAAATGAATTTTTGAAAGTTCCCTTTTCTCTCCCTGTCTCTCTCATTTCTTCTTCCTGGATCTCCTCTGTTACTTTGTTCTTTCTCCGATTCCGTCTGGAGTCCGGTTCCTGACAAATTGGCCTCAGAGCTTACGTTCCTTGGTCGTTCTCTCCATTTCTTCCGCTATCTTCCTATGAAATCTTTTTCCGAGTTCGAATTTTTTATTCGATTCGGTTCTCCTTCTTTTTTCTTCTTTTGCTTCTGCTTCTTTTTCTTCATTTTGTTTTTGAATATCTGTTGTTCGAATTCGTTCTCCATTCCGGATTCTTTCGGTTTCAGAATCCAATTCTTTCGTTCATCTTCGATTAATTCAAAGAATTCTTCTTCTTTTCTTCTGGGAATCATTTTCCCAATTTTCTTTCCGATTAATCAAGTTTCAAAACCATGGGTTCTATTGATTTTGAAACCCTAGTTGATGAAATCTTATCACGCGCACCATCTGAAATTTTTCCCCAAGATCCGGTTCCTTATGGACTTCCAGAGCCATCGCTGAACGGAATTCCTTTTTTCTTCATTGAAAATTACAATTCTTGGTTAATGCAAATTGAGGAATTCTTCGACTATAATTTCATTGCAGCCGAGAGTAAGATTTTCATAGTCTCCTTCTACATGACCGGTAATGCTCTTCAATTCCTTTGTGGATTGGAAGTCGTTTCTCTGCTATACACGTGGGAGGACCTAATCGACCAGTTGGAGCTTAGGTTTGGTGAATTAATCGGGCAGACCACAATTGTCCATGTTTGGGAGGCTAGCGAATTGGAGTTAGAACGCAATTGTGATCCCTTGTGTTCATATGGCATTAGTGATGATTGTGTTGATGATGTTAGTGATAAAGTGGTATGTAATTGTGACTGTGCTGTGATTAAAGATAAATTGCTAACAATTCATGCATGGAGTTGTGTGATGACCAAACCTGTATATGATCTCGAGCCACTAGTTGTAGCTGATTCGATGATTATTCATGCCACTATTGATCCTTATTTTACGCTTATAAGTGATAAAAATGATGGAGTATTACAACTATTTTGTAAAATAATTAGACCATGGGATATTGTCGGTATCAGTAAAGATTCAATATTTTTTAGGCAGGTTAGACCTCTAGTAGTTGAGTTGGATGACAGTTCGGGCTTGAACTATTGGAAACAAATTCCTCAAATTGGGCGGTTTGCTGTTGAAAATTCTGTTGATATGTTGTTTTTAGTTGGTAAAGATACTGAAACTATTGGTTGCCATCATGATGAATTGAAGCTTTTTAATGTTGAAAAATTTGAATCAATGTGTTCAAATGAGGAGAGGGAATGTATTGTTGTTAATGGTTGGATAGCAGAATATTTGGTTTCTTCATTATTCATTCTGGACAGTATAAGGCATGGTAGCAATGAAGTTCAAAGGAACTCGCTTGATGTTCAGTCTGGTGGAGCTAGTAAGCTTTATATTGTTGAGAACCTGCTAACCAGCAAAGTGAGTGATGAGAAGGACTCAGTTCTTGAAGACAAGGATGGTCTTGAGGCTACAAACTGCATGTTTAGTCTGCTTGGAGTTTGTTTGTCGTGCGAAGATTGGGTTAAAAAGGTAACAATTTTTAGAGGTGGAACGGTGTTTTCAGCAACAACAGCCTGGATACAAATAGCTACCTGTTTCAGAGGTGGTATCCTTAATTTGGAATGTCATAGGAAGCATGTATTATTGCTGTATAGATCAAACTTCCTGTGGATGATCGCGTGGCACAATCAAGTGAAAACATTACGTAGCTGATGTTCATCAATTCCGTAAAACAGCGACACGAGATGTTTCGACCTGACTGTTTGGTGTGCTCCTCCATATCTGTTATCCTAGTAATTTGTGTTTGTTCTGTCTACCATCATTTTAGTGGTAGTTCTCAGATTATTGTAATCAGTAGTTTCCTTTAGTCACTGTCTTGAGGACAAGGCTGACCTTGACAAGGAGGGATTGCCATGCCATCGGGGTTAAATTGTAAGAAATTAATAGTAGAGGGGCTAAAGTGTAGTTCTTGTATTCTGCTAGGATAGAAATAATCTTTAGGGGCTTTTAAAACATTATGCAAAATATGAGTATTGAAGCGAATTTGTGAAAATTCCCTTTTCTCTCCCGTCTCTCTCAATTCTTCTTCTCGGATCTCCTCTGTTATTCTGTTCTTGCACCGATTCTGTCACCAGAGTGATAGATCGTGACATTTAATTGGACAATTAAAATCATACGTTCGCCCAAATTTTATTTTGATTTTTCCCATAACTATTTAATACCAATTTTTACCACTGTTGACCAACACGATAGAACAGTCAACGACGGTCAATGTAATTATCAAAAATATATTTACGTCCAAACAAGTTTCTCAAATTAGTCTTAAAATTTGTCTCCAAAAACGTTTCAAACTCAAAAAACATAAAAATAAAATAACAATCCAAATGGGGGCACTTTTATGTAGGGGTGTCAATTTGGGTTTGGACTCGTGAAACTGACACGAACCTAACACGAAATTAGCGGGCTTGGATTGGTATTTTTACCCAAATAATAAACAGGTTGGGTCGGATACAACTTGTTTATTAAACGGGTAGGGTTCGGCTTGACCTACCGGGTTACATGGGTTACCCGTTTTGAATAGATTTATTATTAATTTTATTAGTTTCTTATAGGCATATTGGTCATTTTAGCAAATATTTTACCCTAATTGTAAGTGATTTCACCACTCCTTTAGTTGTCTTGTGTTTGTGTTGATATGGAGGAGTGGAAAATTAAAAATTTGGAAAGACTTTATGAAGAGCATAGAAGGTTATATGGCTCCACTCAAGTAGCTCATTCAATGATGGAAACCATTCATGAAATTGATCACAATCCTAGTACATCTTCCATTGAAGAAAATTTGAGCAAAGTTCAAAAATATTTTGAGGAACAATATGTTCTTTGGTATGTTATATTACTAGATCTTAGTGATGTAATTTGGAAAATTGAGAAAATGTTCAATGTTCCACCAAGTGTTTTGGATAGTTTCCCATCGCATAAATTTGAGGATAATGAAGAATGCATAAGAAAGTTGGAACTTGAGTTGAGTGAATTAAATGATAATCTCATGCATGGTGATCCTAGTTCTTTCTTTCCTACACTAGTTCCTCAAAGAATTCACAAGAGAAAGCCAGTGAATTTTAATGTCCAAAAAATTGAGAGGAAACCAACATGTTCTCTTCCTTCTTTTGACAATTTTGATGAGAAAGACTATTTGATTTTTATAGAGATTGTCAAAAGTGTTGGTTGTTGGTTTGTAGAAGAAACAATTTTTGAAATGAAACCGGCTAATGTGGAAAAAGATATAGAGGATGAATGGCATGAAGTAGATTTTGAAATGGATGAGACTACTTGTGCACTTGAGGGCTATAGCAATATAAGTCTTTTCAAATTTGGCTACATAAGACCTTTAACCATTTTTGAGGTCTCATTTTTGTGGTATTAGGATGGTTATTCCGATATTGATTATTCGTCGAGCCGACGGCGTTAAAACCAAGCCCTTTTTAACAGGCAACCCAACCAATATCTTAGTGTTTTTTTCTTTTATTTTATTTTACTTTATTTGGTCTTTCTAATTTTTAGTTTATTTTGAATTTGGTACATAATAGCATGAGCATAAATGATAAAAATGGACTAAGTGATAGTGATTAAAGGAACATGTGCATAATGATATTTTTATTTTTATCCATTTTCACTCCTGTTCCCCCACTTGCTTGTTTCCACTCTCCGCATCACGTAATTTCTTGCACACTCTTTGCACACTTTCACAATTCATCCAATCACATTTTACACATTTTCATTGCTACTTGTGTTTAATATTTCATAATCATACACTTAAGGTTAATCCCTCTTTCCCTTGTGTTCTTCAAATTCATGAAAAAAATTTTCCATTGAATGATATTGTGAGATGTCATGTGTTTACATTCTTGATCATTATGATGTCTATTTTGGTTGCTTTACTCCAGTTTGTCAATTGGAGGATTAGGGTATGTTTAAATTTCAATGAAATTTAAAATATGAAGGAATGCATTCTAGGTGTTTGCTAAAATGTCTAAACCAACTTTTGCTCCTAAATTTCTTCCTTTGGCTTTGGTTTCTAATCTTTCATGATTGCCCTAATGTGAGTCATACATCTTGTGCTTTAACTCTTTGTTCCAACATTTTCTCAACCTACAAAATTAATGTTGCTTTTAGTTCTCAAGTTGGAAATGTAGTGCCTTGTTCTCTATCATGATTCACTTATTGGTTGTGTTTTGTTTTGATAGAGTTATATCTACATTTTGTAGGTACTTGTCGCTTCTTGAGCAACCGCGAATCACATCGAAAGTATCAACCTCAAGAAATTCTCCAACTTCTTGTGTGGAGGACGAATGAGCATCTCTTCATGAGTTCATTATATTTGTCCATTTCCACCGGCACTTCTTTGGCGAAGGGAGTATTTCTTTACCTTTCTTACACATTGAAGACAATGTGTTATTTAAGTTTGGGGGGAGAGAATGCATGTATTGATACTTCCTTAGTGATGATACTTTGAGTTGAGTTGTTGATGTGTGATAAAAATTTGTGCTAAATTTTTTTGATTTTCATTGATTTTGGTAATTAGATGATCTTTATGCTTAAAGTGTTAAATTCAATTTGGATGATTGTGCATAAAATTATTATACTTATTTCTAGTCCATCTTGAATGTGTGTAGTACACCCTAAACTCCTTGTGAATTGGATTGGATTTATAATATCTAGTGGGGTGAAGGGAAGACTCAAAAGAACTAAACCAAATGAACCATGTGGTAGTTTTGCTTAAGGGAACATATTTGCTATCACAACTAGAGCGCTAAATGAAAATGAGGGATAATTTCTTTGCGAACTCTCATGTACCTCATAACATCTCTTACTTGGACCTAGTTGTGTATTTCGATCTCCACTTCTATACATGACTTGAGTCTAAATTATTTTGTACTTAAAAAGAAGTGTACCTTTCTTGAAACTTGAATTGGATGAGAACATGCATATTTGGTCACGATAAGCCTAGTAAAGTGAGGTATAAATGAGCCAAAAAAAGAGTATCACTAAATGCTCTCGACTTTCCTTATTAAGTCTTCCCAATTGAGTGTGTCTTCATTGATTGCTAATTCTTAAACTTACCTTGTTATACATTTCGAAATCATTTGGTTTGTGCACAAAGATGATGAGGGCATCTAGGATTAACCACTTTTAGCTAGCGAAAACACCCACCCTTTTATCCCCTAGTGAGCCAAGTTGAGCTTTTTAGCCTTCATTTTTAAATGTAACCTACTATATATGAGCACATTTTTCCTATTTTGGCTTTCTCTTCATCCCTTTCAAAGGAATTTGAAATTTTGATATTAACGTGTGATGATTGGAGGAATGGAATAGCATGTTGTTACTTGTAATTGTGTTGATGTAATTAAAAAAAAAAAAAAAGCTCTTTATAGAAAAAAAAAAGAAAGAAAAAGAGGATAAATGAGAAAAAGCAACATTATTGTGGAGCATAGGAAAACAAAATGCTCTTGGACTTAAATGAAGAAATTTCTCAGGTTTGGGGGTGTTATGTGTATATATTCAAGAAAAAAGAATAGTGGTGGTTTTGGGGTTTATGTAATGCAAAGTTGAAGTTTGGGGGAAACTACATTTCCTAGATGATGTGCTTGAATGTTCAAATTCCTTTGATATTTAGCCTTTGAAATCCTTTCTTTATCCCATCATAATGTCCCTAGCCCCATTACAACCTTGACTAAGACCTTTTGATTTGTGCATGAAACCAACCTTAATGGTGGCAAAGTGGTTCTCGGCAAGCCTTTGAAAAGGCACTTTGACTGACTCCTTGAGTGAAAAGTCCCACTATTGAGCGCAATGAGCGAATCTATCGGAAAGGTGACCAAAAAGATGCATGTTTGATGATTTCAATGATGATAGTTTTGTGAATTGTATGACACTTGCATTTTCTTTGAACTTATTTCTTAACTAGACTCATTGATCATTGAAGTGGTTTAGTAAGTTCTTGAGTCCAAAAATAGTGTATAATATGCTTCTATCATGGAGTTTCGCATTAGAACCTTCACACCTCATGAAAAGTTTATATGTGATGCATTTTGTGAGAATCTTTGCACCCATTGTGGAGTTGTAGAGTTTAATACTTTTGGAAGTGCCGGTAAACCACATTATCATCTTTGGTAATTTATTAATAATGTGGTGTTGAAGTGAAGTTGTGGAATTTGTTCTCTAAGTTAAAATGTGTGACTTGAAATGTGCTATCATAAACTAGATGAGTCTTTGATTTTCATGTGAGATCTTGAGTTTGAATGTAATATGTATATTTGTTCGGGACGAACTGATGAGAACAAAATATACATGTTTATATATATGATTTCACATCTCGTTTCCTTATATTTAGACTCATTTGGATGTTGTCGAGAACCAATAATACACATTTCTCATCTTTTATAGTTTTATCTTGAGTAGGACGAGCAAATGATGTTGAAACGGAGCAAAGCCTATCAAAAGTGCCGAGAAATGTACCTGTGTTCAACAAGGTGAACAATCATGTTTTGATGATTCATAATTTGTGCTAGGAGTCTCTGTTTGGAATGATCAAGATGCTGTTGCGAAGCCGAAAGAAAGAGCTACGACTGTCATGCAGAAGACTTCTCCAAATTTAGATTATAAAGTGGTCAAAAATGCAGTTGAAACTCTGTCGTGAGAACTGAACAACAAATCTGCAGAACTTCTGCAACAACCAGCTAAATTTCAGAGCCCATAACTTGAGATTCGTTGCTTGGAATTAGAAGTTCTTTATATCATTGAGAACATGAAAGAGGTTGCTACAAATCTTATGAAGATCACTTGACCAAATTGAGAGAAGAAATCTGCCAAAATTGCAATTGAATTTCAGCCACCAGTGCTGTTTAAAACAATCTGCAGGTTTTCTGGAAGCATCACTCAACTTTCAGAGGTCGTAACTCTTTATCCTCAACTCCAATTTCAGTGTTCTAGATACCGTTGCGAAGCTGGATGAAATATCTACAAATCATATTCAGAAATGACATCCAAATTCTGACTGGGGGAAGGTGAAAAAGACTGATGAGGGTGGTTGCTCAATGCTGGAAATCCAGAATTTCAGCAAACAGTTTGAAGGTCTCCAATATAACATCTTGAATTCGATATGAAAACACAAACTACAGGCTGAATGAACGTATGGGAGTTATATAGGAGATCAAGAGGTGAATTTTGGTGTTTATTTCGTGGGTATTAGCTCACAAATCAGACCCGTGATGGAGATGAAGATTCCGGCGAGAACATTGAACTTCCACGACTTGAGCATCCCATTTTCGGCTTCAAAACAGAAAAAGAATCAACGTAGTATTGAGATCTAAGCAAGGAGGAAGGTTTTGGCATAAGTTGGATTCATTTTCATGAACAAAAGACGGAAATCCTAGAGTTTCCGGCGACGGTGTCCGACGGCCGGCGATTCAAAGCGGGAGGAAGAAACAAATGTTTATAAAATTCAAAATTAGTCCCCTTTCTAAAGCTTATTTAATCCTCGGGCCTTCCTCTTTTGAAAGCTACGCAAGTAGTTCAAGCTCAGTCCAAATGTTCAAGAGTTTTTCATTTTGGCCCCGGTTCCTAGGATTTCTTCTTTGCTGTGAGCTCAATTCGGCCCAAGTATTTGTTTTACTTATTCACTTTAGTCCAACCGGGTTTCATGCCTAATAAACATAAAATACCATTGTATGTACCAAATTATAGAGAATCTCCTCTCTTAGTTCATTTTTAGACAACTCTTAGCATATTTTCTCCTTTATTTCATAGTTCTTAGTTAGGGTTCATATCTTCTGATTTTTAATTAGACTTTCTAAGATGTAATTACTTAAGGGGTTTGGACATTAGTTTAGGGCTTTTGTTCAAGGTCCATGATTAAGGAGAAGATACCAACTCTTTTACGACTCTATGAAGTTGTTGAATTTGTGGAGAAAATTGGAACATGAATTTAGTTTCTCTTTGGAAAAGGGAGCTTTTCTTATCCTTTTTATCTTCACTTGTGATTTATATATTATGAGTTGTGTTTATCCATGATTATGGTTGTTTAAAATGCATAGTTTCTAAGTAGATGTTTGGTTCATTGTTCTTTCTCCTAACTTATGTCATGTAAGCCATGAGATGTGTGTGATTTGAGTTCAGCTCTTTGGTGTTATAACATACAATTTGAATGGTACCTTTGAATTGAATATTTTTGGACTTTTATGGATGACTCTTTATCTTTATGAAGGTGTGACATTATTATTGAAACTCTTGTAATTCTACTTTACGTATAAATAGAATGAATGAGTGAATAAAAGATGTTAATGTGCTTAATCTAATTGGCTAATGTCACCTAGGCATAGGGGGTTAGTCATACCATTCTAGGGACTAGGCATAGAAACTAGAGAG